CTAAAAAAATAAAGAACAGGGAAAGAATGAGGAAAAAAAGGTAAAGGAAATCTATTTAAGTCCGAATTTGATGCAGCAAGCTCTCTTTGGTCTTGTCCATGGTCAGGAATGATGTATGTGGGGGACACTGAACACCTTGGTCCTGCGGGGGGCGGGGGGATGCACATGTGACATGCGCGTACGTGTGTGTTTATTACGACTTGTACTGACTGATACAAACGATGTGAAGCTCAAAATTTACAAAGAATTTCCTTTATTGTAAATTAACCAACTGATGCTCACAGAAAACTTTCGTTACTTTATGGTGAACTCCAAAGCCATCGGCTGACTTTTGGCCAGTTCCGACAGGAACACTAGCTGATATTTTTGGTTACGGAAAAGCCCGAGATGAAAGTGATGCGAGAGAGACCACGTCAGAACTCCGCCTGCTTGTCAGTTATGTGACCTCTTTGCCGAATGACTGGTTGATAGTTTTGGAACAGGAGGAGAATATTTCCTCGTGTTCTGTGCTATTCGTAATATAATGAATATAGATACACCAACCTTTAAGAGTTAATCTGTATTACTAACATTTTATTTATCACTTCCTTAAGTCTAAACAATCAAAACAAAACAATAAATCAAGCCCTGACTTACAGCGTTTGCCAGTTCCGGTGATGTGAGTACCCCCAGCTCGGCCAATTTCAAGCTACCAACCTGATGTCACTCAACACAGAAGGGGGAGAGATGAGCAGAGGCAACCAGTACGCACGCCTCAAAGCACAGGCAATAGTAAAACGGGACAAATTAAAGGGTGATGGGGTTGACTGCGTATTACTTTTGATTTTAATATTTTTATTTTGTTTATAAATTTGTCTAATTTAATTTTTACATAATGACTGTATAATACAACCAGGCCACAGAATTCATGAAACTTAACAACTTGGCTCTGATGAGCTGGTACGTCCAACTCCCACACATTCACTCAGTGGGAAGGAAAACAACTAGGCCGTAGAAAACCAACGATTATACGATTCTAATGAATTCTGGTTATTAGGTGTAAGAAACACATGATGGAAGGATTCAGGACCCTCTGACATACTCTCAGAGTGGAAAATAAGACCACTGGCTAATATCTGAATGTCTGTAGCGACGACCAGCGCTTCCCACAATCTCGGGCTCCCATACCGGGGTCCACGCAGACTGAAGCGCCCCCGACCTGAACGTGCAGACCAGGTCAGGTCAGAACAGCCACGTTCGCACCGGAGCTCAGGCCGGCCACTCTGGGTGTGGGCGACACCTCGCACCCCGCTCCCTGGCCTCGCTCCTTCTCCTTCTACCAGGCTGTGTGTGCCTCTCCCCCAGGACACTGCAAGTTCTTTCGCGAGCAGGGATCAAGTACTGGATTCTCCAAAAAGTATTTTAAGCTTGTGCTTCAGGAGCCAGAAAAGCAGAAACACCAAAACATGTTTCCAAGAAGAGTTTAACATTTCAAAGTAGGCATCAAAGTAGTCTGCCTGAAAAACATCAGAAGTTCATTGTATTTTCTTATACTTGCATTACTGTTTATTTCGATGTTGTTTTATTTTTTATTACATTTATTGGGGTAACATTGTTTAATAAAATTATATAGGTTTCAAGGGTACAGTTCAATAATACGTCATCTGTATATTCATTCTGAATTATAACAAAATGGAGGGCAAAGTAAGAGCTGGGGTGGAGAACCATTACTACTTTGTAAATAAAACGTCTCCAAGTTTGTGTCACCCTCAGTTCTTTAGCGATAGTTTGGCTCTGGACACAGCCATCATTTAATGTGAATTTACCAATACATATAAAGCTAAGGTATCGGCCATGCGAAGTCTAAGAGTATAATCTCCCACTGCCATTCTAGAAGCTGGGAGATTCTTTAACACGAGCTTCCTCAAAGTGTGAAACTGTCAATTTCAAAGTCAACGACCCCCTAATACACAACTTAAGGCTTTGAAAGAACATCGAAATATGATTTGCACTAAGATATTTATAAGAACATGAAACTCCAGTATCTGAACGCCAAACTCAAGCCTCGGTGCTATGGATTCTTCATTTCTAGAAACATCGCAGAATCCATATTTTCCTAGTGTTGCTGAATGCAACGCAAGGTCAGCTTTTCCTGTAAACTCTGCAGAGGAGGATAAAGGGGATGTCAATAGAGTGATCGTAAAGTAACGGAAATAAGAAACAAAAGCAAAATGACAGTTGACCGTTCGACAGAATCGACAGCAACGGCAAAGAGAATCAGAAAAATGCAGGCCGAGTTTTAAATAGCTGAAGAGGAATGACGGCGAGGTGTACGATGCCATCTTTGATTATGTTCTCAATGACTGTTCAGGTCCTTCGTCGGCTCTTTCTCCTGCCTCCCAGGATTCTGTCCTCGGCCCTCCTCTCTGTCCTCTGCTCTCCCGGCCACTCTCGTGGCTCCAGCTCCGTCCTGGGCGGCTGAGGACTCCTAACCCGGACCCTGGTTGCTGCGGGTCAGTCAAGCACTGTGCTCTTCCCAGCGGCTCGCTTCACACCTCCCAGGCTTCACGCAGAGACCTCGGCGGTAGAGCCGCACCCAGTATCAACACGCACCGCACCCCATCAAGCCGCCTCCTCTGCCTGTGCTCCCAGTCGTTACGACAACTCCCTGCTCCAAACTAGTCGCCCAAGCTGAACCTGCGGCATCCCGGAGTCCTCCCGCGTCCCCGCCGCCCTACTCAATCATCCGCGGAGCCTCACGCACGGCGCTGTCACCTCTGCCGCAGCAGCGACCCCGCCCTCGCATCCGGGCCGTTCCACGGGCATCTCACCTGCTTCGTCTGCCCACCCGGCCCTTCACTGCTCCAGTCCACCCCCGACAAAGCAGCCGGGTTACCTTTTCATAGCACAAATCTGATTATCCACCCCTTATTTTTAATAATTCAGTGGCATCTCATCCCCTTCTGAATAAAGATTAAATATTTTCTAAGAAACATAAGGTCCTTACAATCTAACACATCAGCTTCAACGCCCAATGTTACCCAACTCATATTCTACACCCCAGTCACTGAACTTCTCAAATGCCATGTTCATTTGCAATTCTAGCTGTTCTTTGCATGTAAATTTCTCTGCGCGACGCCAATGCAAATTCCAGCTCCCGCAGGAGCCAGCTCCCGTCTTCCAACCCCTAGACAGAGCTAATAATTTCGACAGCAATTTCTACACAGTATAACCTGAGCACCTGTGAATATGTTTTGTGCCCCACTAACACAAGAACATCTAGAGCAGAGACCGTTCTGTCCGTTCTTGCATCTCCCAGACGTTTTCATGCGGCGGTGGAGGGGCTTGTCCCATCTACTGTGAAAGGAAATGGAGGATAATTGAAAACACTGCATCTTCTGTCTAGACGATACCAACCTCTGGGTGCCAAACTTTAAGAGGTTGTCCTCCGTACCAGGCCACTCACAGTGACGGCCGCAAAGGAAAGAGCTGTCAGTGTCACCTGACGGGTTCAGGAAAGGATGGGATAAAAATTCGTTGTCCTTGAAACCAAGTCAAATATTAGATTCCAAATCAAGTAGATAAAATAGAAATCCTAGCTCTGTAAAGAATGCCTATCGCCAAGTGCTACCCATTCATTAATTGTGAAACCATCACGTTAAATGGAATACACTTCAAAAGCTGAACTGAGAAAACGATGCATTGTAAACAGATCTATAAGAGACATCAAAAAGGCACCAAGAAACCTGATTTCTACCCTCATTCTACACGAATGTTCTGTGAGCTCTAGGGTAAATCACGTCAGCCTCTCTGGGCCACCGTTTTCTCCTCGAGCAGAAGTGAGAACATCATCTACCCCATCCACAGGGTGCTGACAAAGCAAGGAAGACGACACTATGAAAACGCCCCGAATAAAAAGTCGCTTTCCGGATGTAAGAACGCAGTCACTAGAACTAGGAAACGCCTTTTCGAATGGTTCTTCACAAAGGAAAAAAGGTGGTTCTTCCTTCGTTAGGTTTGCTTATTTCTGCTGAAAGTAAAACCAAGTTCCTCATAACTTTAACAGCTAGAAGCATATAATGGAAAGCATCTCTACGGTAGACAAAGCCCACATTTTAAGATTCATTTATTCCTTCACTCGTGAATTCAGTCTATCAACAAATACATATTGATTATCAACCACAAACAGAACATTGCAAAAAAAATTTTTTTTGTGAGCTGTTATGAAAGATCCAACAATATATGAAGTGCCGTACCCTCAAGATGCTTAAGATCTAAGAGATGTTCAGAAAAATACCAATATGCATACAAAGCTAGACGAAAGGATAGATACACAGATACACACGAACACGTATGTTAAGGGACATTAAAATTAATAGTCACTTCATATATGACTTGTAAAAATGGATGTGTAAATGAATATATAAAAGCAACAAAGAACACAGTAGCTCATGAAGCAAAGGGCTGTAGGATTGTTCAGGTCACAGCTATAGCTACCAGAATAGAAATACAAAGCATATAAAGATCTTTCTTTTTTTTTTTTGCCATTAATCCTTTCAGCCACACGTGGAAAAGTATGTCTTCAATGACGAGCAAAAAATGTCGTTAAATATGCTGACAGAGGCGGGGGTGGGAGGAGAGCAGAGAGATAAGTCTACCCTTTTTACAGCGTGAATCGGCAGAAATATAAAGGCCCAGAGACTGGAAGCGGGGAAAGGGATCTTCTTAAGCCCACAAGAGCAAGTACCAGGGCACTTAAGAAAGTTCACTCACAACGTGGATAATAAAACTCTCAAAATCCTTATTTGGTAAAATCTGTATAACGTTTCCAAGTCAGAAAATAGTTGAGGAAATTTTTTAAATGTTCTATGTTATGCAGTTAAAAATAAGTCAGTATCTCAGTGGGAAGATGTCTACACCAAATACATAGCTTCTTGGAATTAGTTATGTTTGAATTAATTTCCATATCACAATTTCTAACCACATGCATCAGTAACTCGCTGGGTGTAATTTGTCGCTTACCGTTTATTTGGATCCTTTATCAAGAGCCCTGAAAGCAACGATTTTGCATCTGAAGAGAGTGTTCGAGGAAATTTAATGTCTTCCATTAGTATTAGTTCAAAAAGTTTCTCGTGATCCTGGTTGTAGAAAGGCAATCTCCCACACATCATCTCATACATGACGACGCCAAGGCCCCACCAGTCCACTGCCCGGCCATAGTCATTATCTTCCAACACCTAAAAGCGAAACCAGTGAAAAGATTAACTACTACACATCGACTTTTAAAGCTCTATTTATGAAATATAAGATTTTTACATAGAAATGAATCTTAACTTTCAAAGCCTACGTAGACTATTTTTAGATCTTGACGTTTAAACTATGAAGCATCCTACGAAAGATATAAATCACATCGAATATTTGAAATGTTCAATATACATCCAGAAATGGTCAGAGTATAAAAAAAGGGGTCCAGTCGTACAACCAGTTCTAAGTAAATGAGCACAGGAATGCGCTAAGGGCCAAACGAAGACCTCAGCATGCCTGCAAACTTTCTCTTCGGCCTACTTACTTTTTCATTCTGGCTCATTGATGGAGACTGTTAAGTAGCAACTTAGAGCTAAGGTATGCGAATTATAGAGCATATAATGTGCCTTACACATTCCTGCATTAAGAATAACTAAGTAACACAAATCAGACAGTGAAAGAGAGAAGTAGACACCCACAGTGCTATGCAGAAGCGTACGGGGCATGACAACCATGAAAATGAACTTGAAGACTTTTAGAGGCCCGTACTTTTAAACTCTCTCAGGCAATACTTAGCCATTGAAGTGAATATGAAGGTTTATTGTCTGGGTTGTTAATAAACGTTGGTGTCCAAAGCTTTAGTACCTCACGACGATTTTTTCTATTCAACATAAATAATAAAAATCATGGGCTCCATACCTGTATGGTATACCTCCTTTGTTTTCCAAAATATATTAAATGCAAAATAAATTTAGTAAGAAATGATATAAAAGTGTCAGGCTTTGTTAGAGCAAACTGTTCAAATCGAAACATGATAACTTGCCATTTGTCCCAGGAAAAATCTGATTCTATCTTTTTATTAGATATGTTCCTCATCCAATGAAATTTTCTTCATTTATTTGGAACTTTCAATATTTTATTTTAAGTTACCATATTTGAATCATTTTAAAGCTTACTTTTTGAAATTTATCAATTAAAATAATCTTACAACTGATTATGTAAAAAAGAATCTGATACAGAACAAAGTAGAACTCACGTTCCAAACTTTCTTAGTTTGAAATAAGTAAATATGCTGTTGATGATTACTCCAATGTGACTTTCATTTGAAATTTACCAATAATTCAACTTCATAGGATTGCATGTGGTATTTTTGACAGTAAGGCACTTAAACACGGAGCACATAATTTCAAGGAAAAACTACATTACTTAAAGATCTATTTAGTAGTGTTTTCAAATGCCATAAAAATTTAATTTAATTTAATTGTTTTATTGTTTGTTTTGTGGCTAAAGAAAACTAGGAATTGCACTGGCGAGATATGAACACAAGTGCAGTTTTCCCAAAAATATTCTGTAAATCACAAACTAAGTAAACTCTTTTTGGGAAAAACAACAAATTCTCATTTTCATCTTTAGTCAAAAATATCTCTAATATCTATTTGTCTGAAATGAGTAACGTAAGAACATATAGAACAAATAACCTGAAGAAGCAGAGGAATTCTACTTGTTTACGTAAAGGAAATGCTGCATATGTAATTTTTAAATACCAGTGACTTTGATTATTCAAGAATCTATCTCATGTCCAACTAGAAGAATGGGCCTTTTGCTACTAGATCCTGGATTTTACCTAATAACGAAAAATTTTAAAATCTAAGTAACCTTTCATTGCATTCCTACAACATCAACCAAACAGTGGCACACACAAAAAAAAACGAGCCAAATGTGGTTTTTAACCTCTTTTTTTCATAAAACCATAAAAAGCATAAAAGCTGGATTAACTGCCTCCCGAATCCACATTTCACCAGCCGGGTTCTCATCCCCAGCTGGCAAAACTGGCAATCCTTTATTTTTGTTTAAATACCTGGTTTGCAGCCAGAAGAGAAAGTGAGTACATAAAAAAAGGGTTTTATTTTTGAAGAGAAATAAGCATCTGAAAAATAAAACTGCATTGTAAAAGAATCTGTTTGGTAAAATAAAAATGTATTTTATTTAGCTTTGTAAAATGAACACTGATTCTCAAACTAAGTGATTTTGCTTCTGAACATAATGTACTTTAATTGATATATAGATATAATGCTATACAATTAGAGCTGTTTGCTTTATCACTTTGTACTGAACAAATCTGATGTAATATATTATCTTTTTGACATGTAAACTTAAGCAATGTTGAGGAAGAAAACCCTAACGACTCAGCCAGCCTTCTTTATTTAAGAGTTTCCTATCGATTAAAAAGAAAGATTTCTGCTCAACTCCTACGTCCAAACAGCTGGAAGATGAAATACACAATAATATAAATAAAAGTGATTATAATATTCTACATGTGGATAATAACAGAAAACATGTCACGACTATTCATACAATATCCTCTCTCCTTAAATATAAATCCTTTCAAAACACAATACTCCGAAATACTGTAGAAATTTCAGAGTGAAATTAAAATCCCCAGCCTCATTTATATTATTTTTAAAAGATAATTTTTCTCCCTTACTCAAAGCACTTCTTTCTCCAAAATTACAGTAACATAAAATGTATATTCTTTAACCTAAGAGTTGCAATTCCTTCTGGCTACCTCTGATGATTCTTTTTCAAAAAGGCTAATTTACTTGATGGTTCCCATGAGGGCCAGTGGGGAAGTGGAGGGGAAGCAATGGAAGCCCACACTCCAACTCCACTACGGCGCAGGTTATCGTGTGGTGTGGACCTGAATGCAGATCAGAATCTGCTCCTGGAGAAGCGATCCACTAGAAGACTCACCCTAAAGAATCAGTCTAAAGAAGGTGTCTTTTTGCCATAAAAATCAATGTTACTGACATTGAACTAAACTCAAGGTTTTAGTATGGACACGGACACGTGGTCTTTCCCTCTGTCCCTATTATTCTCTGTAACCATAGATGCAGCTTTATAACTACATTTAACACGAATGCCCAGAGAGAGAGCACGAGAGAGGATCTGGGACACTAAAGAAATGTAAATGTTGAAAATGACGACAGGTCACATTAAAACAAGACCCGAACAGTGCAAACTCTAGGAAACAAAGCATAGTTTCAATTTTTCTACCAGGAGCCAGAGGTCACTCCAGGTTCCGATCTAACAAAACCCAAGACTCAAGTTGGTCACAGTAGGTACCGGTTACTATTAAATATTCCGGTAATATTTGATGTAGATGCTTTTGTTTATAATACAACTAGGTAAGTTTAAAAAATCATCATAAATAGCTCTTAAATGATTACTAATTTCAAAGAATGATATTAAATAATAAACCATGTATTTTAAAATGACACCACCAATTAAAATTACCAATGTAAATATTTATTTGGCTAATGGCCACTTTCAAAAAACATGTTCATTCTAATATTCTTTTACCCATTAGGCTTTACCGAAAGGCTGAAGGAACACCTCTCAGTTGGTTTGCCAAGGCCACACAATGCACCCAAGGCAAGTGATTATAAGGAGGTTACGTGTGCCCTAGAGTGGCTTACTGCTCAATCAATAATCCTGACAGAACAGATGGGGGGAAAATTAAACATCTAAACAAACTGTCTGCACACCTATGTTGTGAAAGTAAACTGCGAACTTGGATGAACCAATTTACCGCTAATTCAAAAAATAATTTTTTTTTTCCTGCTAACCTTATATTTCAGGTAATTGATATGTGTGTGTTTTATATATAGACACTTATATACTTTATCATTTATGGAAATCCTTGATATATTATTAACATCCCAGAAATGTGCTTTAAAAAAAGACCTATAAATCTTGTAATTCAGATTCTAACATGCACTGCAGCTTCGGAAGTAGGTATTTCGTAAGAATTATGGACTCCATGGTTTCTTCATAAATATATATTCTCAACTGCTCTAATAATTCTTAGAATTCTGAAAGTGTAACTGCCATTTGCTGCGAGTTAGACTGCTGTGAGCTATCGCCTAGCACTCACACACAATTCTTGCACACAGCTAACGTCGGACTTGCAAAGGCAATCTCTGGCTAGAACAGGCGACATTCCTGAATAAGAGAAGAGCTAAGTGGACAGAATGCTGCTGACTAAATCATACTTCCACACTTCTTCCCAGAGACTTCTACACTTCTTTTTTATCCTGAAGCAATGGACATTATGAGATTCTAAGAAACTGGGTCTTTGTAACCCAAGTAAAAATAGCCACTGTACAATACTGCAGGTCGCCACGAGTGTCACCATCCAGGGTTAGTTTTGTTACATACATTCTTTGGCTTCAGAAAATTTTAAATTATGCTTAAACTAGAATCATTCCGAAGTACTGAATGCAAATATTCTGACTGTTAAAGCCAAAAGACCACATCACGGTGGGAAAAACTTTAGGTGAAAAATAGTTACTACAAGAACTGACAGACCTCTGGGCAAGTAAAAACAGCTACTTATAAACGTGGACAGACATTACCGTTGAACTAAAATTTATCGTTTTAGTTCCTGTTTTAAAATTGTCCACTTTTGAGACAAAATGGGATGATTTTAATATTATTCAGAAAAAGTGTAAGTATTAAGCCAACACATGATGGAAGTTCTTAAACATGAATTCAAACCATAAAGTACCCAACTTCTACCTGGACAAATCACAGTGATTGTCCCCTCAATACTGGTGATGAGATTTTTCAGAACCATCAGGAAAATGAAGGCTTTCATAAATACCTTACGAGGACAGGTGTTTCATGAATTATTAGTAATTAAATATTAGGGATGTATATAGTTTCAGAAAGGCTACTAAAACAGCTTTTTATTTTTATAAAAAACTTACAAGTTTTAAGACTTAGATTCACAATCTGGAACAAACAGCAGACCTCTGTCCAAGGGTTAAGCAAATGTAACTAGGTGTGCTACTATATTTACCTGTAGATTAAATATGCAAACATAAGTAACTTTGGCCTAATTCCTCTTAAGATCTCCTAAAGAGAATATTGACAGAGACCATAAAATGATGGCTTTAACATTTTTTTTGGTTGTATTTAAAATAAATAAATA